ATTTCACTTCCATGAAAAGGCGTAGTGGCATTCTAATGGAGCTTAACCTATTTAATGAATTCCAGGAAATTGGGTGATATTTTTATCGCCGTTTTGATCCCCCTCCGATAAGTCCGATACTGGTTAGCTACACCTGGATAAATGAAGGGTTTTTTATCTTTTGTTGTCTTTTTTTTCGAAAACTGGACAAATAGTGCCAAGAGGAACATCATGAGGAAAAATGTGAACATTAAATACGCTGAAATTTTTCCTGTGAGGTCGACAGTGGCACAAAGGGGAGACAAGGGCTGCGAGGAGGTGGAAAGCGCGAGAGTACGTCGTGCACAAGAGGCGCAGACGCCGCTATGATTCCTTTGATAAGAATGGCAGCGGTTGCAGCGCTCGAGCAAAGAATTAGCTCCCACCAACCCTGTGATTAAGAGGTCCTATCACCTACTCAGAGGGAGAAATTCTTTAAGGATCTAATCGCGACCCGTGCGTTCAAGATGCCTAACATTCTCCTCTCGCCCAAAGCTTGGAAGAAAAGGCAATTTTGAACGAATTTCGAACTGTTGCCAATCTTATGCAAAAACTGTTGCGTGCAGCGAAATTGTTTGGAAACGTCAACCAGCTTTGTGATAAACTATAAGTTCAGCCGATATATAAATGTATCTACGTGCAATAACGAAATAAACTTTTAGCAGTTATCTTCTCAGCCGCCTGATCGACTTATCACACGCGGCTTAAGTTCGAATAGAGTCGATACAGAGGCACAGGAAGGGTTCATCCATAACTCATTCTCTATCTTGCAGGGTGTTATGGCGAATCAACTCTCGCAAACACAATGCCTTACGCCGGCTGCCACTCTGACACCGTTGACGACGTTCGGACCGCCGTTGTCCGCGGTGGCCTACCATCATTCGCTTCAGTCGCCCACCGCGGCCGCTGCCTGCTTCTATGGCTCGTCACAGTCGTTGATGCCCAGTCAGACGACTCATCTGAACTACCAGTCGCTGAACAACACCTCGCCATCGACGGACTCGTTGTTCTCCGTCTCCACGTCGTTGAACTCGTTGCCGTCTGAATGCCCACCTCGTCGTAGCGATCTCGATCTGAAAATGGAGACCCCGGACGGTGAGTGTCAGTTATTTACGTAAACATATTGTTTTACAATTGTATTTGTGCAGTTGCATTCTAAGAATAACATGTTTTCAAATTTGTAAGATCGGATTATTTAAAGGTGAAGAGATGGACGATTTTTTCGATTTGGAGAAGCACCAGAAGGCTCGATCGGCTTCCTTCGGCGGTTCAACGCCCTACAGTACCCAACTGGCCATCGCTCGCCACGGCCTGTTCGCCCCGTCACTGGACACCATCGGAAGTGTAGCCAGCGGGTATGTTGCCGTCTTTTCGCTTTTCATAGCTCCCGTTTAGATTTAACAAGGTGCCCGAGCAACCGATTTGCAGTTGAAAGTTCTGAACGACCGCTAGAAACAGATTTTTCAGGGTTAATTCTATAATGTTCAGCTCATGGTCGTTATCGTAATCACAGGAATAACCTGTTTCAGAACCCTTTTTGCATGAATTCGGAATGGCCTGAGGAGGTGGAGTCTGTGCAGTAGGGCGTTCCCTAGCAGTCACAATCAACGCCTTTTTTCGTTCAAAATTGATTTGGAAATCTCCCATAAAATCGTTTCTGGGCGCCCATGTTCTTGAAGAGACATCCAAAACTAGGCCGATGGTAGGTGAGACCAAGTCCAGGCAACGAAGAAACGCCAGAGAGAACACAGAAAGCTCACATACTCCCTGAGGGTTCCCCGTCCCTAGGGCTTCCGAAGCACAGTAATTGGCTATAGCTCACTCACTTTGATACCCCCCACGGACATGAGCGCCCATTTCTGTAATCCTGTGGAATGCCGAAGTGAATCTTTCCACTGTTTCCTCGTCCTCCAGAAAGGCGCCAATCGGAGTGTAACCGTCTGGCTGTCGCGCCACCCCTGCATGTTAACGTACTTCCCAGTGTACTGTAATATAGGGATCGATTTTACGCGCCAACAACCAGTGCTCTTTTTGAGCACTTATCTAAGGAGGAGCATAATGAAAGCTCCAGGGAACATGAAGATAAAGAAAGTCAGCTTGCTTTCATTCGATCAGACCGCCCCTCGGTACTCATGTGCTGGAAATGATTATTGATTCAAGGTTATGAAGGTAGGACTCATTTTCAAGTGGACAAAACATGAAATGGTCTAAAGTGTGATTTCAACTGAAAGGAGATGTTGATGAACGTAGGAATATGGTTGGAAGTGAAGGGGGACCGAGATGAGAATTGTAGGAACGTGGTGCAATATAGAGGGATGAATGTTGTGGGACTGAGAGGCAGAATGGGTTTAAAGAAGCATGATTTTTCATTCTCCTACGCTTCCGTCAGACATTCATATTCATATTCATGTGAGCGCTGGTGTCGTCGGACCGGGCATCGTTCTGAGTATTAGCAACTAGGAAGAGGGGAGAAAATTTGCTTACTCATGCACAATTACACCTCGGCGCTCTTTTTTCGGGGGGGGGGGTGGACATTCACAAGACCGATGGTAGGTGAGACCAGGACTAAGCCCAGCAGAGGGAGAAACGCCAGGGCGAGCACAAACTGCTCACATGCTCCCCCAGGATCCCTTCCTCTCCCTAGGGTTTAGTCCAAAGCACAGTAGTTGGCTCACTCACTAGGATGTCCCCCTCCAAGAACATGAACGCCCACACCTTCTCCTAGCATCCCTTTGGCTTAGTCCTAGGGTAGAGGGAGGGTGCGATGGTGGCCGTATGGGTTCTTTGCATAATGATATACCCCACTCAACGGCGCCAGCGCCGAGTCGTCCTTCCAAACTTCCTTCAAAATTAAAGCAAGGAGTTGCTAGGAATTACGAACAAAATGAAAATGTTCACGCACGCCTTGATTTCTCTTCTCCGTCACTTAGCTTAGCTCCGTTTCATCAAAAAGGACATGCTTGACGCAGTTTTGAATACATTGTCACCACATTCCCCGTATCTTGCGATAGAGCCTATTTATGAGATGACCTAACAAACCAATTGGGCTTCTGCCATACTTGAGGTGTTCGGGTGAGCGCGAACGGGTAAGCTACGAGATGTGAGAATTGCTTTCACAGGCACAGCTAAGCTTGCAAGAAATGGGACGCTGATGTCCTTAGTCGAGACATTTAAGTGAGTAGCCCACGCAGTTACTCAAGACTAGGCCCTACGGAGGGAAGAAGATTCTGGGAGAAGGTGGGAGCAACCATTGCTCTCCCTGGTCTTTGTTCCCAATCCTTGGCTTAGTCCTAGTGTCACCTACCAGCGCATTTGGAATGCTCCGTTTTGAGTGTCCCCCCTAAGGACATGAGCGCGCTCCGAAATGGCTAAAGTTTTGCAGGTGCCGCAAAATGTGATGGGAGGCCAGTTATGGTTGTACACTTCAACTC